ATTGTCATTGAAAAACTAGAGCTGGGTAAACGAATTTATTACTTTATTACTTTATTTACTTTAAGGCAATATGGAAGTGGATACGGAGGTAACATGACTGAGTCAGCCTACAATCGATAATTCAACAAATGCTAATAAAAGAAAATAAAGTAATGTTTGTGTTGAAACATACAGCATTTTGAGAAAAACAATCTGAGATTCACAGAATTGCACTTTGGGAAGGAGCCCTGCTGGCGTGGTTTGTGTGCCTTTGGGCTGGCAGACTGTTTCTGTAAAGTTCTACGTAGCAAATATTTTCAGCTTTGTGGGCCATGAAGTCTCTGTCACTGTTGTTGAGTTCTGCCATTCCAGCACAAAAGCAGTATAGATAGGCCATAATGAACGATCGTGGCTTTGTTCCAATTAAACTTTATTTATGGACACTGATATTTGCATTTCATATAATTTTTACATGTCACAGAATAGTAATTTTCTTCTAATTTTTTTCTAAGCATTGACCAATGTAAAAGCCATTCTCAGCTTATGGGCAACAGAAAAACAGGTTGTTGGCTGGATTTAGCTCACAGGGCATAGTTTGATGACCCTGGGTGTAAACAATCCAAATTACCTTGTCCAAGGTCAGATATGACGCATTTTCTCTAAGGGGCACGTCACAGCCCACATATTCCTGAGCTACTGAATTGCAATGGATGGAAGAGGAAGGTGAGTGGGAGATAAGTGAAGGTGAACCAGTAAAAAAGGGTTTTGAATGATTTCGTAGGTGTGGTGGGGAAGCCAGTGAGGAATGAGAGTGGTAGAAGTAATAGGAAGACACTTCATGGTATCTGCCTAAACTCTTTTCCTTTCATCTGCTTTCTGATGCTCCCTCTGTTTAGAGTAAAATCATTCCATTCAGGATGAGTGAGGCTACTAGCCTCCCTCCTTTCTCACTCAGACAAGTTTTCACATTTTCCAGACCCAGTCAATCAGACCACGTCACTCCTTTGACTCTAATAATCATGTAACTGCAATGGCTAATACTACCTATGCTGTATGCTACATAGTAACTGTGTAGGTTAGATGCCATATCATTAGTTATATACGCCATATGCTATATAATAGTTATCATAGTGAGTTTAATGGGTAAAATTATTTTTGTTTCCTGTTTTGGACTTTAGGAAGAATGCCTATGTTTATGAGATATGATGTTTGTGTTTGGTCTGATATATATCCCTTGGTTTACATTTTGTGGATTTTCAGAACCAAGAAGGTTTTGAATTTTTTTTTTCATATATTCTTTTCCATACCACTACTACAAAGGTTGGCAGGAATGCAGATCAAATAACCATTCTTGACCAGCTTCTCTAAATATAACTGGTCTGATCTCCAGGCATTGACCTCTTTTTTTTTTTTTAAAGATTTTATTTATTTATTTATTTGACAGAGAGAGACACAGCAAGAGAGGGAACACAAGCAGGGGGAGTGGGAGAGGGAGAAGTAGGCCTCCCGCTGAGCGGGGAGCCTGATGTGGGGCTCGATCCCAGGACCCTGGGATCATGACCTGAGCCGAAGGCAGACGCTTAATGACTGAGCCACCCAGGCACCCCAGGCATTGACCTCTTGTGTGCACCGATAAAGTATCTGCACCTGGTTAGCTAATAGTGTGTCCTCTCAGCGTGGTCCAGGCCAGCTGGCAAAACCACTCTCACCCTCTGCTTTTGGCCCACCTGGCTTTTATTGTCCTTGCAAATTCTCTAAGTGTGAGTTGTGTCTTCTATCAGGTCCCTGGTAGATGCATATACCCCATCTCCTCTGCTAAAGGGTCAGCTCACACACGGCCACAACAATCCCAGGGCAGACTTGCTGACCTTCAGCTCTCAGCTGCCTTCCATGCCCATCACCTTGAGAATCTGGGAGCTTGCTGAACTCTTTCACACACCAGCAGTGCAAAGGGAGACTTGCATGTGCTATCTCCTTCTGCCTAAACACAATGTCCTGTTAACACTGTGCTTTTCAAAACTCCAAACAGGAAGCAGGAAAAAGCTTCTGCGGATTTCAATTTCTCATAATCCATTCCCACCTTGGTCAAGGTTCAGACCTTCTCTCTAGGCAGGGTTGCCTTTTTCCGAAGGACAAGCCCCAGGACCTATACTTAATGTAATAAAGCTTCCAAGGAAGAATAAAGCAATTACCGAGAACATCACTGCTGTCAGGGAGGCATTAATAAAGATCATCCTTGCCTTATAAGAAATAGGTCAGGGGCGCCTGGGTGGCTCAGTCATTAAATGTCTGCCTTCGGCTCAGGTCATGATCCCAGGGTCCTGGGATCGAGCCCCACATCGGGCTCCCTGCTCAGCGGGAAGCCTGCCTCTCCCTCTCCCACTCCCCCCGCTTGTGTTCCCTCTCTCACTGTCTCTCTCTGTCAAATAAGTAAATAAAATCTTAAAAAATAAATAGGTCAGAGTACACAGATATAGCTAAACTCATGAAGGTGCTACTTAATGACAAGCATTTTTTGGAGTACTGATTTATGTCAGCCTTCTCATAGCTGAGTAATAGAGGTGCAGAGAAATTTTCACGATGAATTGATAGCAGGGCTGGAATCAGAACCCAGGGACTTAGACCTGAATTTTCTCTGTTACTCTGTGTTGAGATTTTCCCCCATGGCCTGTTAAACTCTATTCTCTGGAAATTTGAAATAAATTTGGGTCTATACATTAACACATTGTTTTGGTTGTTTTTAGCTTAGGTGGGCTAGAGACACTTCAAGTTCTATATTTACTCTGATTATGGAGAAATTTTTTAGGTTCTAATGGTGACTAGGGACACTGTTGGGTCTACCATTGAGAAGAAGTCAGTTTTCCACTGATTGTTGCAGCTTTGTGGAAGCTCAATGAAAGTACACCTGTAACTTTACCCCAGTAGAATAGTCTTCATTCCATAGTCACTAATTTTCACGCTCTTCTTCTCTCTCCTTTGAAGGAAACCAGAATATGTCACCCCAAAATATACCTCTTTAAAAAAAATCAGCAGTTAAAAAAAAAAACAGCAGATACAAGAAGGGCCCTCTGACCCTTCCTTTTTCCCTCCTGAAAGCAGGAGATAAAACTCCCAGATGGAAGGTATCCTCCTTATACCAGAAGGAAAGTAAACTGCCCACATAGTTCAGTTACTTTTCCACAATTGTCTCTGTCTTTGTTCAAGCTAATATAAAAGCAAGTATTTGCTTTTCTTTGGGTCTCATTCCTTATGAGGGCTCCTGTGCCACATAAAACTTATATTAAATACTTTTGTGTGCTTTTCACCTCTTAATCTGTCTTATGTCAGTTACATTCTCAGGCCCTGTAAATATACCTAAAGAAGGTGTGCATAGAGAGAGGGAGAGAGATTGATGGATTTTAAGGAATTGGCTTGTGTGATTGCAGGGGCTCAAATCTTCAGGCCAGGTCAGCAGGCTTTGGGGTCCCAGGTAAGAGTTGATGTTGCAGACGTGGGTCTGAGGGCAGACTGCAGGTAGATATCCTTCTACTCTAGAGGACCTCAGTCCTTTCTGCAAGGTTCACACCTGCTAGTGATAACTGCTAAGGTCTCTTCCCTACACGGTCATCACTTCACTGCCCAGTGTCCCTACTCCTCGTTTGCTGTAGCCCTTAGGGGCCCATGGACTGCTAGGTTCCCCAGTGTTTTCCATTCTGGGCAGCAGAGTGGAGAAGACCTGGCTCTGTGCCAGCCTGACCTGCTCCCCCTTGATTACCTGGGTGCTGGAACCTCCTGACTTGCCCACCCTTTCCTGCACTGCTCTTAGAATCTTCATGAAGGGGCACCTAGGGGGCTCAGTCGGTTAAGCGACTGCCTTCAACTCAGGTCATGATCCCAGGGTCCTGGGATCGAGCCCCTCATTGGGCTCCCTGCTCAGCGGGAAGCCTGCTTCTCCCTCTCCCACTCCCCCTGCTTGTGTTCCCTCTCTCGCTGTCTCTCTCTCTGTCAATTAAATAAATAAATAAAATCTTTAAAAAAAAAACTTAAAAAAAAAAATCTTCATGAAAATGACACTGATCCCACCCTGGGACCTGATCTTGGGAATTAGTCCCTCAACTGGGAGCCTTGCTATCCTGCCAAGGTACCTTTCATCCACTGGGAGAGCTGTGTGCGGAGGCACCATTCTCTTTCCTTAGTACCTCCAACCTGCCTGTGACTTCCCTTGACTTCCAAGATCAGCCCTCTTCCCTCAAGGCTTATATTTCACCTTCAATACATTTACATATCACTCCCATTTAAGAAGTCAGAAGCACAAGGAAAGTTAAGCAATCTGCCTGAGGTCAGTCCCACGGATAGTTGAGGAGTCCGGGTTCCAGTCTAGGTCTCTCTGGTTCCAGAGACCGGTGGTCTCCCAGCTACACCTCACTGGCTGCAAAAGGTGCAAAAATGAAAAGACACAGTGCCCTCCCTCAAGCACCACCTGGAGGCACAGTCTACAATCTGTAAACTTGATCGTTTGTACATTTTGACAATGGACATCGGCTGAGGAGATTAACAGTGGGGCAGACTTCAGAGGTTCTGGCCCCAGGGAAGCATTTTTGCATTGGGAGGGCTTCTGTTGTCCCTTGGAAGAGTGGTTGACAGACCCAGCTATGCCTTAGCAATCCCCTGCTAAACATACAGATCCCAGGGCCTTACTCCAGTTGGAATCTCCAGGTGCGGGGCCCAGGAACCTTGACTTAACAGGCCCCTCGGGTGAGTATTCAGCCCACACTGCTTGGAGGCTAGATATCTGGGACTTTCCTTGTTAAACACGATCAAAAAAGGCAGTTGCCTAAGAGAGCACCGACTCCAAGGAGGCAATGGAGAAGGGTTTGCAGGAAAGGAGACCAGAACTGGGAGTGGAGAGGAGTCAGGGAAGTGCTTAGAAACCAGAGCTATGTGATGAAACCCGAGATCCATTGTGAAACACCTGGACTGAGAGGTGCCCCAGCTGCACTGAGACCCTGCCCTGACCCCGTGACAGCAGGGCCATAGTCCTGTCCCTGGGGACATAAGAGGAAGGAGCAGCTGACAGTTTGGTGAGGGAGAGCAGGCTAGCGGGTGCCTGGCTGGCTCAGTTGGAAGAATAGGCTGGGGAAGCTAGTTGGCTCAGCAAGCCGCCCTACTCCAGACTGCTCCCGGCAGCTGAACTCAGGGTGAGTGTGGGGGAGTCGGGCTGTCACGGCCTGGCCTGGCTGAGGGCTGCGCAGTATTCGGCAGGGCACCCGGGAAGGTGGCTTTCATTCAGCTGTGTGCGTTCCTCTCAGCTGGGCGGCTAGCGCAGCTCACTGGGGGACCTGCGAGGACCGACGCCTCCCTCATGGGTGGCCGATTGCTCGGCCACGCGGATCTATGTTTTAGAAGCATCCACCTAACAAGAGATCCTTTAGAGACTGTTTTGGGGGCAAAGCGCACACTCAGCTGCAAAGTCAGGGTCCTCTTACTCGTGTGAACTTATGGAGAGATTGTTTTCTTGACTTGGGAAATTTGTCTCTGAGACTTACTGCTTGGAAGGTTGAGGGGGGTGGTAGGGAAGGAAGTACCTGTGATGAAGGAAGAAAAGCCCCTAAAGGGAAAGGACTTTTGTTTCCTGATTAGTAGGTTTAACTCCTGTGGGTGACCTTTTGCTCTCTTTCTTTCTTTGTCTCCTGCCATCTATTGTGTTAGTGTCCTACCAGTTCCTGGCTGCCTTTTCTCCAAGATAGGTCAAGTTCTCCCAGGGGTGTAACCATACCCTTCCCCATGGGAGTCTGGAACCTGCTTCACAAAATGGCTTTCAGCTTTCAGCCCAAGAGGTTGCTTCCACATTGCCGAGGGCTCTCTCTGCAACCACTGGGAGGCTCATCCTGTTTGAAGCAGCTTATGTGCCTGGCACTATTCTAGAAACTGAGGAATAGAATGTTGAGCAAGGTGTAATTCTCGCCCTTGAGGAATAATTAACAATCTGGACCAGTGCTGTTCAGTGGAGTATTCTAGGCTGATGGAAATAGTCTCTATCTGAATTGCCCAGTGTAGTAGCCACTAGTTACGTGTGGCTATTGAGCAATTAAAATGTGGTTACTGTGACTGAGGAATTAAAATTTTGTTTGTTTTTAATACATTGAAATTTAATTAGCTATATGTGGCTGGAGGCCACTACACTGGATAGAGCAAAAAGGGAGGGAGAGAAAGAAGCAGATTTTTACAATATCATATGCTAAGTGTTATAATGAGATGGTTGGACTAGTAAGTAGGTTGGGGTGACTTGTAAAAGCTTTGATTGAATCAGATTGTTATAACGGGCACCAAACACAAAGGGAAGTCCAACTCCAAGACTGACAGATTCAGCTGGTAAAGAAATAGTAGCCCCTGTTAGATTCAGACAGTTTATTATTTACATAGATAATGAAGGCAAGAGAAGCCAAAGGCACCAGCTGTCTGAGTCCTGAATGATGGCACTGAAACAAAAGGGGCTCCGTGACCTCAACACAGTTGCAGGTACCCCGTTGCTGAGGATCCAACTCCAGACTGCAGCAAAACTGTCCCAGAGCCTGCAGCCGTGCCCCGAAGTCCTCTATGCCTCTCTGGAACCAGGGAGGTGGGGGGAAAAGCTGTCTCATAGCAGCCTCCCGTAAGATAGGGAGAGACAATTAAGAGCTACAAACTTCCACGTATAAAATAAATAAGTCATCAGGTATAGCATAGGGAATATACAGCCAATAACATTGTAATAACTTTGTATGATGACACATGGTAACTAAACCTTTCACGCTGATCATTTGGTAATGTACAGTTGTCCAATGTTGTACACCTGAAACTAATATCATATGTCCATTCTATTCCAATTTAAAAAAAAAAAAGGATAAGAGGGGCACCTGGGTGGCTCAGTTGGTTAAGCGACTGCCTTCGGCTCAGGTCATGATCCTGGAGTCCTAGGATCGAGTCCTGCAGCGGGCAGGCTGTGTGGGGGGGCGGGGGGGGGCGGTCCCTGCTCAGCAGGGAGTCTGCTTCTCCCTCTGACCTTCCCCCCTCTCATGTGCTCTCTCTCTCTCTCTCTCATTCTCTCTCTCAAATAAATAAATAAAATCTTTAAAAAGAAAAAAAAGGATAAGAGAGACAGGTGAGAAAACAATCTTGTGAAGGCCCTCTGAAAGATTGCCTGTCTTGCCACGTTCTTGCGATTGCAAGGCATCCCATCCAGATTTAGGTCCTGGTGGTGCAAGTTTTGCCTGTAGACACAGGGAAACCCTCCAGGGTGCTGTGGTGGAACCATTCCCCTGCAAAGGGTCTTAATGCTAGGCCAGAGGATTTAGACTTCCCCCATCACCCTTCAGCCATTGGAAGTTTAAAGCAGGAGAGAGATTTGATTATTTTTGTGTTGAGATCTGTCTGACAATATTGCAGAGATTAGACTGGGAAGTGAAAAAGCCTGTAAACAGGGAAGAAGAATTAGGTAAATGGATGAGAGTTTATGGGAATGAAGTGGAGCACAATCAATAAGCATTTTTTTTTTAAGATTTTATTTATTTTTTGACAGAGAGAGAAAGAGCGAGAGAGGGAACACAAACAGGGGGAGTGGGAGAGGGAGAAGCAGGATTCCCGCCGAGCGGGGAGCCTGATGCGGGGCTCGATCCCAGGACCCTGGGATCATGACCGGAGCCGAAGGCAAATGCTTAACGACTAAACCACCCAGGCGCCCCAATCAATAAGCATTCTGAATAATCAGTTGAATACCAGGAAGTGAAGGGCTCCATGTGCAGTGAATGTGACAAAGACAAATCAGACAGGATTCTGCCCTCAAGAAATTTAGATTCACAGGAGAGCAAAAACACAGCATAAATGGCTCTAGGATAAGAAGACATCCAAATGGCCAACAGACACATGAAAAAGTGCTCAATATCGCTCGGCATCAGGGAAATCCAAATCAAAACCTCAATGAGATACCACCTCA